AAGACAACCACAAAAGGCCATGTGGTGGTTTGGATCACAGTGTGCTCCAGGGTTTGGCCCACACAGGGCTGGGCATGGAGAGCAGGTGGGGCAGAGATGGTGAGCACAAAGCCCCTTCCTCATGGGGAAGTGCTCATCCCCTGGAATTGACACACTGCCCTGGCAGCAACAGGATTGAGGACTCACGCTGAGGGCTGGGCTATGGGTGCAGCCAGAAGAAGGAGGAAAGAGGAAAGGACCAATCAAGGCAGATTTGCCGAGAGAGCTGGGCAACAGCAATAGTCTTGCTAGAACAGAGCTGTGCAACACACAGACAGGGGATGTTGCTGCTTGACTGGAGCCTGTGTAATTTCACTGTGATGCTTATTTCTCCTTTCACAAGAAAGTGGCAACAGGGAGGCAGATGTGCCTTAGCACTTCAGTTACATACATGTGTTGAGTCCTTTGGATGAGAAAAGACAACCATGAGATGTGGAAAGGGGAACAGTGAACACAGAGGTAATTCTCTGATTGGGATTTGACACTCTGTTTCCCACTGTGGTATAGAGATCTTGTTTCAAAAGTAGAAAGACATTATTTTTGACTATTTAAGAGAATTTGCTATAATTAAGTATATCCCCCTGCTGTGTTTTAAGCAACCATCCTTGTACATAAACTTTGTTGTAAATGCTAAGTGCACTGCAGTGTGTTGCATTGGTTGCACTTAATGATGAGAACCTTTTCTCATAGGAAATAGTGTATGCAGTCCAAAACTAAAAGCATTGCACTCATCCAGTTCCACTAGTGAGCAATGAAGAACTTTTTTTCAGAATCTTAACTTTCACAATCAAACACAAAAGTAGTCATTTCAAGCCAGTGAACATGGGTGATCCTATTTGCTTGCAGGAGGTTCCATGGAAGGAAGGGTATTACAAGTATTTTGTGACTAAATTACTTATTGCTTAGTCATTTGCTTAGTCAGCTAACCAACCAGGGCTAGCTTTGTAGAAGCTAGAAAGATGTTTCCAAACTTTTTTGGTGCAAGGTCTCCATATTAGTTCTGTTCTATTCTGTATTGCTTTGATTTCATATCCTACATTCCCTCTAAACTCATGTTTTCCTAGCTCCAGTAGCAAGTGCAAGAAGTTTGTAATAACACTGTGGATGAACCTGCCCTCCCAGCAAGGGGCTTGATGTGAATCACCAAATCTGCATCTCCCTGGGTTGTGTGTGCACAGCCCTGCATGGAAGGACTCGTCTTACTCAACTTCAGACACCTTTCTCCATGCTAACCATCCTGGTTGTTTCATAGTTCAGGAAAGTAACAGGACTTGCATGTACGCAGGCACTTGCCTCATCTGCATCTTCCCATAGATTCTTGTACGTCCCCATGCTGGTGCCACTCTATCTGCAGTTTATTGGGATACTGCAACTGTGTGTTCTCCCCTCCCTCCTTTCATTCTCCCAACTTCATCCTTCAGCCTGGCTTTGCACGCAAGGCCTCACACAGGACAACAATGAGCAACAGTACTGATAACACTTGCTGAAACAGATTAACTGCCGCAAATCTGTCTCAAACTGGGGGGCTGAAAATCTGATAGTAGACACCTGGTTCAGCACATGCCTAAAAACAAAGAATGAATATGAGTCAGTCACCTTACTTTGTAAATAGAGAGCAGCCCAAGAGCCCCTTGAGCTGTGCTACACAGCAGCTAGCTGCACAACAGGACTTCCTCTTGAGCAGGGTCACCTCTTGAGGTTACACCTGTGCAGAGATCTCTTACACCTTGACGTCAGGGTGCCTTGTCAATACAGATCCTCAGTAAGTGACTAATTGTTTTAAGCTTTGTTAGCTTTGCTAAGATTATATCTTAGATTTATGGTAAGCTTTTTTAGCTTCACTAAGACAACGTCTTAGATTGTTTGTGCACATATGATCTCTTAGATGTAATCTGTTGACCAAGCCTGGGACTGGGAGTGGGCCCGGCTGCACCTAGCCTCTTCACTTTCATGGTTCAAGGAGTTTAGAATGCAAGTGGGTCCACTCTAAATCTCGTGACTCAATGGGAGAGTCTTTTGTATGTATGTGTTTAATCCTACCCTTTATGCAGTATATCATCAAGTGTATCCAGCCATCTCAAATCTTTTCCTATAATTGTTAAATGACTTATGTTGTATCTATATTATATCAATAAATATATTTCTGCTTCTCTCTTATGAGTGAAGTGTATAATATAGTCATTTCTATCCATGACAGACACCTGTCTCCTAAAGAGTGCAGGAAGCTCCTTGGTCATTGAAGCGTAGTCAAGGGCAGCTCAGGTTTGCATCTCAAAACATCATTGTAAGTTGATCCATTGTACTTCCTGGAAAAGGCTCAGAGTTACAGGGAGAAATGTAGCACAAGAGAGATGATGACCCTGTCAGGAGAGTCAGGACACAGATGGGCCAGGCTCTCCTTCTGGGTACAGAAGACTTGGGGTCAAGATCAAAGATTTCAGCTGAGTCTCCTATGCTTCCAAGCTTTTCCTTGATTAGTTGATTGTCTTCTGCCTCCTTGACATAAGCTGAGACAGCCTTTACTGACATGAGCAGCTGGCCAGTTTGATGGACAATAGGAGATAGACCAAACACAGAAACTTAACGGGAATTCATATGACAGTTTTTGGTTCTTTACTCACACATCCTGAATAAGTTGAACAGGTGAATGCCTGGCCTTCTTTATTCCTAAAAGCAACTCATACAATTGATTAGGCTGTTACAAGTTTATGATATTACTGGTTCAGCGTGCATCTTTGCTAACTGAATTATTCCTGTTTCTAAAAATCTCAGCTTTGTCATTTATAGCTAATCTTATATATACACGTGTATGGATACATATGACATACTCAGACATTTGCATGCACATGGATACCTCCTACAGTCATTGTTACCTTCCAAGACTGGGACATCCTGGGCTGGGGCACTTCATATGGAATCTATTTTAGTACATACTTTGTGCTATTTCATAAACTTCTAGATTCCATATTAGAGTATTAACCTTTTTTTTTTTTTTTTTGGCTAGAGTCTGATAATGGTAAAGTCTTCATTCCTAATAGGCCTCCTCTGTTGCCCAGGCTTTGGGCTACTTAGGACTTATGTCCTGCATTATTTCACCAACACCTGCAGTCTGTTGGTACTCTTAAAGTGCATTTTTGACTGCAGAATTTACTAGAATGGAAAAATGATTTTCCACTCAGTTTTTTTTTGTGAAAATGACTTGTTGTTCTTACTGATAATCTTGTTGTTGTTTTCTTCTTATCCTGTTTACTTAACACTCCTTCTGTGAGCAGTTTCATGTGCTAACCTAGATGACGCAGGAATTGTAGTGCACTTGTTGCACTGTGTTGTTACACCAGCTTATATGACCAAGGAGATGAATTGATTATTGAGCACTTAGGTCTCATTTGAAAAGAATGTTATGGCAGATCTGAGGAGTCATTGAACAGATACTGGGCTGAAATTAAGGGATGGAAGACTTTCCTGATTCATGATCTCGTAAACGTCTACTGGGAAGGCAAGGTTAACCCAGAGGAATACTGTGCCGTGTGTTGTGAGGCACAGTGTGTGGCTGATTCATGGAATGGAGAAGAGGCAATGGAAAATATCAGAATACACAGATGGAGATGGTTGCTTCAAGAACTGTACTGTATCCATAGAGAAACGCAAAGAAAAATGTTCCTTTGTGAAATGAGTTAAAAAATCCAATGCTTCTTTTCTTAGAGTTTTGCAATAGTGTATCCTCACTGGTACTGCCTGCTGGACATTGTCAATATATATGGTACAGTGTGAATTTGTATATATGTAATGAACTGCAACCATATAGTGAATAAGAGATGAGCAGGTCTATAAAACAGGGTGGCCTCTGCTGCTCGTTCTGTGCTGGGAATGGTTAGAGTTGAGGGCAAAAGTGTCCAGGGTGTTTGACCAGGGAAAGAGCTCTCATTTAGAGCTTGTAGGAATAAATATGACCTCATGCCAAGATCAGTGGGGCTGGAAATGCACCCCCATGGTTAAAAATATGGGGAGATCTGGCAATACCATGAATATCTGAGGATTTTGATACCTTAAGATTTATTTACCCAGCAGCTCATAACTTCATTGATGATGTTTAGCCATGATTGTCTTCTCTCTGTAATGCAGTCCCCATCTGAAGATGCCTAAGAATACCAATGCTCTACACAAGAAACAGAGAACAGAACTGATTTTTGTTATGCTCTTCCTGCTTGGAATCCAGGAGATTTGGGTTATCACTGTGCACGCAATAGCAAGCCCTTCTTTATGGGACCTTTCTGCATCTGGTCTGCAAAGTTCATTGCCTTGGGGAGCTATTAAATTAAATAGGAGAAGTGGGGAGAGGTGGCTAGAGTGGCTTGATGGAGCATTAGCACAGTTTGCTGTTTGTTAAGATAAGGGTGACTGGGCTTAAATATATTTGATTATCTCCATTCAATCTCCATAACACAAGATGACTGCAGTTGTACCTTAGCTAAAATGCACAGCAGTTTACATGCAGAACAAGTGAAACCACCTAGAGACAGCTCTTCTCTAAAGATGAGCACAAAGTTCTTCAAACAAGGCCAACCCACACAGAAAATGAAAGCAGCTGTAGATCAATAAGGAAGCAAGTTTCAAGGCTGGACAAGGAGAGCAGGGAAATACCTTGCCTCTCTGATACCCCCCCTTGCATCCTTACCTACTGAGAAAATTCTTGCATCATCTGTTACTGCTTCACTCTGAGAAAGATTGCTTTGCAGTTTGTTTTGAATGCCGGTCCTCTAATCAGCTGGAGAAAAGGAGTCACTTACATAAGCCAAGGGGTAGGAAACACTTGGGTGATACTGCTCACCTAGGACGGACTGCTGGCTGACTCCTGACGTCCAGCTTCCGCTTTTGCTTATCCAGTTTCCTTAGGGCTGTAGTGACTCAGACAAGTGGCAGTATAGGAGGCTTTTCTCTTCTTATTCATCTTTCTTTTTCAAGGCAGTCGGTGAAGAAAACTGGAAGGCATGGCCCCCTCCACAGACAAAAAGCTCAACGGGCTGGATAACCCAAGCTTCATGGTGAGTTTGCTCTTCCCCAAAAAGTAATTCTTGCATAAATCGGTGTGAGTTCTGCAAACTGAGGAGAAAGGGAAAGCCAGGGGATCGGACTGCCTGTGAGTAGGCTCGTTTGTGGTCTCTCAGCTTTTCTATCAACAGGAATCTGAGGAATTACTGCCTCACTAAAGTCTGCTGCTGCTACAGATTCAGTGCAGTTTCTGCTCTCTGATGCCCTTTCACTTCTTTTCTCTCCTTTACCTCTAAAATGATAGAGTAGATGAATGGCTGTGCAGGTGTATCTGTGTTGAAAAGGTGGTGATTTGGTAGATCCTTGTGCTGATGTCTGTGTTTAGAAGCATTTATGTATTAGTAAAATTATAAGAGAAATTTAGCCCACTGAAGAATGTTTCTTTGTCTTGTGGATCTATTTCTGTTGAAGTAAACTGGAAGGGAGGTGAGTGAAAAAGGGATTTGGGGGTCAGTGGGTGTTACAGCAGGGCAGTAAAATCTGTAAATGATGTGTGGATTCAGCAGTGTGCAGTGAACTGGGGATACTGGGAGCCTTAACAGTGCCACAGGGAAAGGACTTGGGTCACAACAGCCCTATTCCTATCTCACGCAGTTAACTTCCAGTGGAGTTAACCTCCCTTAGAAATGTGAAAACCTGTTTGTGTTCTGACAGTGGGAGTAGAAAGATGGGATTCTAATATGTTGGCATAGACCCCCCCCAAATAGGGGACTATGGAGGACTCATTTAATCTCCTGGTGCCCAAGTCTCCCATTTCTCAGAGTGAGCTTGCTGGCAACAGCGGAGGTGGAGTGCTATGTGTGCCAGCTGTAGGGAAAGCCTCAGCGAGGCGCTCAGAGCAATGAAGAGGCTTTCTTTCACTGTTTTTAATGGTCTCAATTTTTACCTGTTCTGCTGCTGGCAAGTCTGATGAATTGTAACTTCCTACAGTTTGAATCACCATTTTCTTCTACCTGCCCAACAGTTCACTTTCTGATCTTCCTGGTGATCTTCCTGGTGCACTTAATTTAAGATACAACACAGGGAGGGCATCCTGTTCCCCTGGGCTCATGAGAGCAGCTGGGCTGAGAACCACTGGCAGCAGCTCTGGCAGCTCCTGTGAGGGCCTGTCCCTGTTCCAATCTGCTGCTGCTTTGTCCTCCTTCCAGCACCTCAGCATCACAGGATGGCTGACATGGGAAGGGACCTCTGGGTCATCCGCTCCAATCCCTGCTCCAGCAGGGACACCTACTGCAGGCTGCCCAGGATCATGTCCAGATGCCTTTTGAGGAACTCCAAGGATTAGACTCCACAACCAATCTGGGCAACCTGTGCCACTGGGTCAGTGGTCATCCACACAGTAAAGGAATGTTTCCTGATGTTCAGGTGGAGCCTTCTGTGTTTCAGCTTGTGTCCATCACCCCTTGCTCAGTCAGAATTTGTCTCTTGACCTGCCTCATCCTGTTCTCTCAGCTTCATGCTTCTCTTGCTGAACCATGCTCACTCTCCTTCAGCTCCTGGGGAGGGTCAGGCACTCATGTGATGGTCATAGGGGGCTGTGACTGACACAGACTCTGCATGGCTGGAATATATCCCTTGGTTAACACAGGAAAAGTTGTGGTGAAAGGAAAGGAGCTTACTGCTGTCTGCCTAGCTTAGGCTTCCTTTATCCATGTTGTTATTCAGGAGTAGCTGTCCCCATATAACTCCCTGCATGAGCAGTCTTAAATATCTCACTGCTTATTTGTTAATCCACAGATCATGCTCCCTTGTTCTGAAATGAAAATGCTTTCATGGAGAGGTGTTTAGGAATGCCTTTTGCTCGTGAAGTTCATGCCTGAGCTCACTTGGAATTAACTCTGCCCTCTCCTATCTGTTTTGAAGGAGCTGTGATGTTCCCTACCTGCCTAGGCTGGGTAAATATATGGTGTTTTGGAACATACCAAAACACTTTGACAGTGTGATCATAAATGGGACTCAGCCACAAGGCTGGAGATTTCAAGAAATTATGCAGTTCTTTGGGACTAATTAGCCACACCTGCAAATTTATAACTGAATATAACATTGATTTTACATCCTTGTTCCCTGTTTGCAGCATTAGCTCCAGTGTAGGTAGGCCATGAGTGTTACAGCACACACCTTGCTTTCAGCATCCTTCTGTTCTGTCAGAACTTGGAAGATTAAAGAAAATGGAAGTTTGGTACTGGTAAACTGGTTGAGCATCTTTTGACAGCAGATTTCTCTGCCACATGTGTGTGCCTGGGGTCCTCAAGCTGGAGATGAGACCTCAGCTCACCCTGCTTTTGCCAGCTGGCTCCTTTGAGATGGTTCACCAGGATCTCATGCTCTTTGGTTTCCCCCAATTCCTTTTTTTAGAGAGGTTTTAGAGAGGTCTCCTGTGTAAGACCCAGTGCTGCTGTGTTTATTGAGGGGAAACACTTGTAAGGATGTGTGAGAACATCAAGAAGATTTAAGAGAAGGAAACAAAATGCAGAAAAGTCTTCTAGTCAAATTGGTCAAATTGTTTTAGGGCATTTTGTCAAAAGATCTCTTTGGATGGGACAGAGAACAGGGACCAGTGCAGCATTCAAGCATTAACCTGATGCACACTCTTTCCTGCTTCTGCTTATGGTTTTTCCATCCTTAATGAGACACTAATGATGCTAGCACACTTTATCAAAATGCCTCTTTGAGGCTGAAACACCCTCCAAAGTTTCCCTGTCTAGACACACTTGCAAAGAAGCACATAAACAATTTCTTAAAGCATTGCACTTCTTTTGTAATCTTGACTTTGTTGAAAATTACATCTGAAGTTCTCCCACAAGACATGGAGCACTGCCTCAAGACAGGCAGCTGCAGGGCTGAGCTATGGCTAACGAATGGTTTTTCTCATTGTTCAGAGTGAAGATGGGAGCCACCACTGTGCCTCACTGGATCGTGCTGCCCAGGGCCCAAAGGAAGGCAAGAGCAAGGGGCAGAGCAACAGGCTGGCCTACACTGTCACTGACATACCCCCCTGGTACCTGTGCATCTTGCTGGGTATTCAGGTATGAGAGGGCTGCAGGCAATGGGTGGGGATGGATGGAATTTTACCAGGTGTTCAGCCAGTTAATGGGGACAAAATCTGTATTTGGGAGTGCTTTTGGTTCTGATGCCTCTGGAGCTGTGGGCTTAGTGTCCTTAGGGTCTTCCCACCACTCCCTAAGCACTGATTGTTATCCTCCTGCCTGCAGCAACATCCTCCCCCTTGATGTGCAAATAGTAAGGCAGAGACCTAGGGCCGGAGCCAATCAGTTAATAACAACAGGTCAGATACCTCTGCTGAAATCAGCAACATGTCTGTAGGCTTCTAAACTTCTGCCCTTCCACTGCCATAATGGCTAAGCAGAGGCAGCATGAGAAGGGTCCACACTGCTTTGGCTAATGTCCATGCCCACACATGTTAAATAACCCAATGCAACCCAAAGTTAATGGGTACAGAGCCTCAGGGAACAGAGCCCTCAGAACGACTAAGGAAGCAACGCGCTGTTCTTGGAGCTTGGTGGACACCTTGTACTTTGTTTCCTTAAATGGTCACCTTAAATTTAGAATGTATAACAAGGTTTTGTGAACGTATTTACATTGTAAATTTAATAAAACATACCTTTAACAAGCACGGTGAGTTTCCAAGTGCCACCAATTCCACCACTGCTATCCTGTACTATGAATGAGAATTAGGAAGTCAAACCAGCTGAAACAACCTTACCTCATCAATTGCTCACCAAATTATCTTCATATTTAGTAATTAACCAAAGGTCATTATTAAAGTATGCCTGTGACTCTTTTGAAAAATACAAAATGCTTGATCTTTTTATTCTTTGGCATTCATTTATATGGCTGTTTATAACTGCACTGTGTGAGAGAAGTTGTTGGCAGCAAAGAATAGGTAACTCCAACTTACAAATATTTTATGTTATTCACTGAGGTGCCAGTGAAATGGATTGAAACATTTGTACTCTGCTCACTTAATGTGATCATTCTGTTACCTTTCCCTATGATGTCCCTTCCTTCCTGGTAGACTACTCCCAACAGTTTCGTTTGCAGGGCAGGGGATAAAGCTGTTCTGTCTGACAGTGATCTGGGGAGTCCAGAGCACTACAAAAGGTCTCTGGGCATGGAAGGTGAGAGAATTTTGTGGGGGTGCACTGCAGATCTTGTAAGTACATCCCCTAACAGAATGTTTAATGTATCAAAAAAGAGAATGAGTATACTGGTATGATTCAAATGCAAACATATTAGTTTCTTGTAGGTTTCCCCCAGTAATGCAGTATTGCCAGTTCTGCGTCCTTCACTCTGTCTTTCTCTGTGGCTCTTAGCATTTCCTAACAGCCATGGGAGGTCTGGTAGCCGTCCCACTGATCCTCTCCAAAGAGCTCTGTCTTCAGCATGACCTCCTCACCCAGAGCCACTTGATAAGCACCATCTTCTTTGTCTCAGGAATTTGCACCCTGCTTCAAGTCCTCTTTGGAGTCAGGTAGGTCAACTGCAAGAAATGGGACATGCAAGAAAATTTATAGATGCAATTTCTATGTGCTCAGCAGCCGGCTTGCTGTGAAGTTTATCTAGTACGGAGGGTCATTTGTTACCCTTAGGCAATCAGTACACATGCCAAAGCATACTGCAGTCACTGTGCACGACAGGTTTGCAGGGCTGCCTCACTGTTTGGCTTTTGCATTTCCTGGTACTTGATGCATCTTTTGTTGGGCTCATAAGGAATCTGTCATGCAAAAGGTAAAGCATTAAAAAAGATGCAGTATACAGTATCTGCCTACTCCTTACTGAAGACCCTATGGCTGTGGCAGGTCCCTTTCAATCTGGCCCTGGCCCTGGGCGCACAGAGCTGTTCAGAAAAGAGTTCAGGGGGGTAACTGGGAGAAATTGCAGTTCATCCTCCACCTTCAGAGACTCAGGAGAAAGTTAAATACTTTGTAAGAGACGCATCCTCAGTGCCCCAAAGAGCCTGGGTCCTTGCTGGCCTTGCAAAATTTCTTCTATTCCCTTTGTCATAACTCTGGACTGCCTCTCTCTTTCCATTTTTTTTTTCCTCTGTTATGGCAGGAACAGAATAACACAGAACCTCAGAATTGCAAGGGTTGGAATGGACATCTGGAGCTCATCCAGTCCAACTACCCCTGCTAAAGAGGGTTCCCTACAGTAAATCACATGGGCAGGCATCCAGGGGGGGTCTTGTGCATATCTAGAGAAGGAGACTCCACAGCCTATCTGGGCAACCTGTTCCATTGCTCTTTCACTCTCCAAGTAAAAAAATTTTTCCTCATATTTGTATGGAACTTCCTAAGTTCTAGTTTGTGCCCATTGCTCCTTGTTCTGCTGCTGCTCACCACTAAAAACACCAGGCTCCATCCACTTGACTGCTGCCCAGTAGATATTTATAAGCATTGATAAGCATTGACAAGAACTGGTGTTTCTTGCTTCAAAAGCAAAAATCACACATTGATTGACTTTCAAATCTGAATAACCTGGTTAAAACTCTTCTACTGGCAAATCACCATACTTTTTACACCTCCTGGGCATTTTCCTAGTGTAACTTTTCCATCATTGTCTGTAATTAGGAATGGTGGTAGACAAACCCCTCCCTGGAGGTAACTCCATTGATGCAGGATTAATGGAGAAAGGGGCCTGGAGGTAGCCTGCAGTGCATGCCAGGCCACTATGGCCACCAAAGAGAGGCAACTTGGTTCTTCTGAGTTCAGTTAAATTCAGGCTAGGGCACACAGCTATGGTGTGGGCTGTTTGGGTGATTCAGATCCCCCAGATCCCCTCAGGCTGCCCCCAAAAGGACTTGGTGATAAAAGTGTGGCAGAGAATGACACATTAATGTCTCATTAATGTCTCTTGTGGCTCAGTAACTGAATGAGGAACAGCAGATCAAATTAAGCAGTGAGGAGCTGATCCTATAGGATAAGCTTAAATGGCATTTTCTGCACTAAGGATGCAATTGCCTTATTGCTGGCCCCAATTATAAGGCATGAGGACATTCCCTGTCAGAAAGCTGGACTCAGCCTGGAGCAGAGCTGAAGGAAGTGATGGCAAGCAAACCTAGCCCAGGGAAACAGAAGCAGATCTCTTTTTCTCTTTTTATTGCTTTCTCAAAGCCTTCAGTAGATGATAATCACGAGTCACCAGCAAGTCTTTGGGGAAAACAATAAATATGAGGCTGATGGGATGTTTTTTTCCTGGAAAACATCAGTGCTACGTCCAACGCCCTGAGGAGCCCTCAGCTAGGTGCTCTGCACAGTTCATGATGTCTGTATTTTAGAAAGACTGATTCAGAGGAAGAGAGGTGAGAGGAGGGATAGTGATAATGTGTTTATGTGGTATGGTAATGGGAGGCAGCTCATCTTGTGGAGGTAATGTAAGCGAGATTGGCTGTTCTAGGCCAAGTGGTGGATGAGTGGGTCTGGCTGCAGTCTGCAATTAGTCTGAGAGAGCAGAGATGGGATTAGGCAGGGAAAAAGCACTTCAGCTAAAATACAGTGCTGGCACATGAACAAAGAGGTGGGAACTGGCAGTAGAAATGGGGAGGTTCCTTCCAAGAGTGAGTACAATCTGGGAGCAGCCCTCCAGAAGCAGTAAATGGTGGAAAACCTCAACCCACTGTAACCTGCAGCTCAGTCATGTGACAGAGCATGAAAAAGGAATGATGGGTCCCAGATGGTCATTAGAGACTATCCAAGAAGCTCCTGAGGACATACAGGTAAGTGACCTCATTTGCCATTGTGGTGATGCTTAGGCATCATTCAGTGATGATCAGAGCATAACATCTCCTCTAAATCTTGTAAACATTGCCAGAAAAAAACAAACAACCCATGATGCCCATATGCTTCACATCAACACTCCTGCTTGATGTTAAGCCAATGCCAGCTGGGAAACCAGCTCAGGACCAGCACACCAAGAGCTATAAAGCTGTTGTTAATTCAACAGTGGTGGCACTAAGTCTTCTATGTCCCTTCCTTCCTTCCTTCCTTCCTTCCTTCCTTCCTTCCTTCCTTCCTTTTTGCCTTTTTTGCCCAGCAGAATCCTTTGAAGGCTGCAACATGTTTGGATGAATATATTAAATAAGTGACTCCACGGATGACTGATGTTCAAATATAACTTGCTGGCTAGTTCTAACAGTGCCTCGGTTGTATGTGGCATGAGTAATTGCAGTGATATAAATACTTGTTTTAAGTGATGGAGATGTGGTGCTGTAACAGCTTTGCCATCCTTCATTTTCCTGTGCTTTCTGATGAATGGTGGAAATGCTTTAGCTTCAGGGAAACTGCAGAAGCATTCACATGGATCACTGCCCTGCTGCTTTTCTAAGCAGGTGCCACTGGGGTTTTTGGCGCAAGGAGAGGTTGCTTTGGGAGCTGCTCCTGGGGAGATTTCTGAGCAGATAAAGCCAAAGCACTTTGGAGGCTTCCCCTGGCTTTTTCAGAGCTTGTTGCTGTGTCCATGTAGGTTTCCTTTCCAGTGTCAGTGGAAAGAGCAGAGGAATTAGCTCTAAAAAAACCTGATCTCCTAAGATATAAATCACAATTTCTAGCTCCTAGTCTGAAGATAGTTATGGCATGGAGGATAGCCAGTATGTGATTGTGTTTATAAGCAGGTTGTGAAGAAAAGTGAGGCAGATCAAGGGGACAGAGGAAAGAAATGGATATTGGTGAGATTTGGGCACAGGTCAGTGCTAAGCTTTTCTTCAGTCTCAGCATCTTTCTTCCTTTCCCTTCTCTCCTCCTCCAGCTTTTTCTTTTGGCTGCCTTTTTACCATATGTGGCTCTATGACCCAGTCACAACTTAGAAGGACACATATATCCTTTAAACCAGAATAGCAGTCTGACTCCATACTGAACGTAACTCTCTGTTGTGGTCATTGCTCTTTGAGTACTACTGGCAACAATTCCCAAGCGTTGTCAGTGACGGTGACCTGCCAGAACAGACCAAAAGACAATGCCAGAGACCACGACCAGACTGTGGTGGGTTTTTTGTTTGTTTGTCTGTGGGCTTTTTGTTTGTTTTGTTTGTTTGCTTTGTTTGTAATTTATTTTGCTTTCCTTCCTCTCACCTAAATGGAGCTGTGATTCTAGCATTCTCGTCAGCTTTTCCCTCCGTTCTCCTTCTAGGCTGCCTATTATTCAAGGAGGAACTTTTTCCTTCTTGACCCCCACCCTGGCCATGCTGTCTCTCCCCAAGTGGAAGTGCCCTGCCTGGACAGAGAATGCCACGCTGGTGAATGCTTCTTCACCTGAGTTCATTGAAGTCTGGCAGACACGGATGCGAGAGGTACATCACATCTTCAGTGGCACCTGTTCTGTATCAGGGCTGTTTGCTTTCAGGAAAGCACCTTATCTTCCATCTCTAATGGCCCTTAGCCTCTGCCCAGTTACAGCTTCCTGGGCACCTAAGCTCTGGTGCTGTGCTACCATTGAAGAGGAGACAAAGAATCCTTGGTTGATTATGGCCCCTGCAAAGTCTCCACTGGGCGAAACAGACCTGTTATCCATAGCCCTGTGTTCCTCATGCCTTTGGAGCCAGCATGAGGGAAAATGCTCAGTACTGCAGGTTTATCACCAGATCTGCAAAGACAGCAGCTTCACCCCTGAGCCTCCTGGCTGGAAGTGATGAGAACAGCTAATGGCATTTCAGGACACAGTCGCTGGCTACTTAAACAGTGATTGTCAAACACAGAAAAGTTCAGAGTGATGACCATGTCCCCAGAGGTAAACTGATACTCAGGAAAAAAACAGAAGCTGTAATGACATCCTGTCCTACCAGTGTGGTGAAACACCCCAAGTGCTTCCCAGGTGGAAGGTGAGTGGAGGCCATGGCTCTATTCCCATTTTCAGAGCAAGAGCTTTTCCCCTGCATTTTGGGGGAGCAGAAAGATTGGGTGCAGGGAAGCTGAAGTGTGCTTGAGTGTCACAGATGGCAGGCACAAGGGAATGAAACAAGCCCTGGTAAACAACTAAATCCCTCAGCCAAGGTGGGAATTGGTGTGCTGGTACTTTGGTGGTCCTTCCCCCCAAGTAATGCTCAGCAGAGACCTGCTGCGGTCAGTGGCAGGCCTCCATACCTGTCCATCTTTGGAGGTGTGCCTGGCTCTCACACTGGCTTGGTACTGACTTCCTCAAGAAAAATCTTAAGAAAAAAATCTTAATAGTTAGAGGTCCGCTCACTGTCTGATCTCTTCCTCCGTTTTTCCAGGTGCAAGGAGCTATCATTGTGGCTTCTTGCTTTCAAATCTTTGTTGGATTTTCTGGCCTTGTCGGATTTCTGATGAGATTCATTGGCCCCCTGACAATAGCCCCCACCATCACCTTAGTTGCTCTGCCTCTCTTCGACTCGGCTGGGGATAAAGCTGGACAGCACTGGGGCATAGCATTCATGTAAGTATCTCTTCCCTGGAACTCAAGATTTATTTGTGGAGTGCTAACACGCAGAAGGCTTGTGCAAGACACCAGCATGACACAGTTACCTCTCGAGAAGCTTTTAGCCCTCAGCTACACCAGCAACAAATCAAATACAAAAGTGAATTTTAAAAATACTGATTTTGTGAAAACTCATAGTTCTGAGCTCAGTAGAGAAACAAGTCTTCCCTATGTGTCATTGCTGAGGGCAATTTCTGTTACAGTTGTTTATGCACACTATCCTACACATCCATTATTTAAGTTAAAAAGGCATTTCTAAAATAACAAAGTTAAGCACTCAGAGTTCTGTATTCCTCAAATTATAATAGCTGCTGCTTCGTGTCTTGTTTTCAAGCCATGAGGAGGAATTGTTTTCTCCCCAGAGGGCCTGGGGGAGCTCTGGAAATGTGTACATTGTGTGCATGTGCCTTTGCAGCACTGAGAGCATTCTTACAGGGAAATTTGTGTGTGTGCCTCTGTGTATAAGTGTACAAGTGTTCCTGGTGGCAGAATTTCTTTGATATTTTTAGAATCATAGAATGGTTTGGGTTGAAAGGGATCTTTAAGATCATCTAGTTCCAACCCCCTGCCATAGGCAGGGACACCTCCCTTTAGACCAGGTTGCTCAAAGCCCCATCCAGCCTGGCCTTGAATGCTTCCAGGGAGGGGGCATCCACAGCCTCACTGGGCAACCTGTTTCAGTGCATCACCACCCTCATAGTAAAGAATTTCTTCCTAATATCTTCTCTAAAGCTAAATTTAAATCTGATTTCAGAATTTAAATCTAATTTAAATTTAAATTTCAGAAACAGTCTCAAAAAATAGAACTACCACTGCACAGTTCCCTTGCAGATAAGCAGTTTCAGATCCGCAGTGCAGGTTTAAGATTGGGATAGCATACAACAGCAGCAGGTTGTTTTCCTCTATGACTTCCAACAGTTTGCTAGTGCTTTCAGTGTTGTCTTTGGAAACTCAAAGGTCCAGAGGTCAGCCTTGAATGCAGCCTTGGAAGGCAGTGTGCTGTCATGGGGATATTATCAGGACCCAGGTAGGCCTTCTGCTCCCAGCTCCACTTCTCCTGTCACTGCCAGTTCTGTTCTGCCTGCCAACACCTGCACTCCCAGGCTACAAATGCCACATTTCTCCTCCACCTGCAGTTCTCCACCCAGTTGATCTCTTCCACAAGCACTCCATAAGATCCCAAACCCTGCTTGTCTCCCTGCTCCTCAATTTCCCCTTCACCCTTGTTTCTCCCACTACATCTGTGGTTTGTCCTGTTCTCTAATGATTTGTCCCAGCCCCTTTGCTTGGCCGATCTGAATTCTCTTTTCAAAATCTATTTCCTCATCAGGACTGTCTCGTTCTTCCACTTCCCCTCTCCAGTCCCTAGCTCCTAACCTCTGTTTCTCTCCTGACCACTTTGCCCAGCAGTGCTGGCTATCCTTTCTGTTCTTCTCTTTTCTACCTGTGCTAATCCCCATCCCAGGGAGAGACAGGTGATGGAGAAGGTAGAAGACATGGGTCCTGTGATCTAAGCCCTGCTGTCCAGCCCTACCACATCCCACAGCCTCCATAATGGGTGAATCCCAATGTTGCCTTGAGAAACTGGTTTGGTGTGTGCTCACTTGCTCCTTGGTAATGATACATACTGCAGTTCATCACTTAACAGTATTCCAGAAAAAAAAAAAAAAAGCTCAAAATCTTTATGGCCTGCACATGCTAAAATCAGAGATGTTTATGCTCAATACTTGGGACCTGAGATGAATGATCATTGCCACAGACTTATCATACTTGAGCAGAGTTTTGTGAGAAAGAGCAATATGCCTCTCCCCAACAAACAAATTCTACTAAATCTCACATAGGCAGACCTTACTACTGCTCAAGGCAAAATGACCTTCTCGACTATGTCTATTTCTTGAACATCACTCTTTGAAATAGGTTTAGGATATATTTCTCCAGAAATATTTGGCCTGGGGCAGATGTTTTCCATGGAAATTTTCATTCTAAATGGCAAAAAGTTAGGCAAAATTTCAGCAGCAGATGAAAACAGCATCTATTAATGGAATGTGTCAGGCAACCTGAATAATAAGCAGTGACACCTACCCAAGATAGATGAGTGTTCTGCAATGATTCATCAGGCCGCTGAGCTCCTTTGTTAATGCAAATGCACAAAATGTGCACTGATGCCGTTGGTCTATGCTCTGTAGCTTTAGAAACCAATAATGGAAGCTGGTTCCTCCTCAGACATTCTGCATCCAGTCATTCAGTGCCCTGAATAGTAATTGATAACCTCTGGCTGCATATTGCAGTGTGTCTGTGCAGCCCTGCGCTGCTGTTGGTAAGAGTGCAGTCCCACACAAGGGGTGGGAGAGGAGCTGCACCTCGTGGCCAGGCCTCCAGTTCACATGGGGACAGGTGGGCATCTGGGCAAACACTTTGTCTCATGGTCTGTTTTCCCCTCCTCCCAGGACTGTTTTTTTCATAGTTCTGTTCTCTCAGTACCTGAAGAATGTCCCTGTGCCACTGCCATCATATCAGAGAGGCAAGAAGTGCCACTTCTCCCCCATCTACATCTTCCAGATCTTCCCGGTATGTTAGTGCTCCTGGTGATCTGGGCAGCATGGCAGAGGGACCAGCTTCACCCAGTCCAGGCTATCTGGGCTGTTTCCACTCACTTCAAGTGCACTTAGCACTTCCCAACCCAGGCTACACTGCAAGGGGCAGTGGGGAGAATGGGAGAAGAGACCCGTGGCATCTGTTTGTGGGGCAGAAAGGAGGGCTACCAGGATACTTGCTGTCACTCTCCCTCCATCCCATGTGCATGCTCACGTGTGCACAGGGAAAAGGTTGGGTAGGAGAAGGCCTCGTCCCAGACCTGTCTGTCATTGCTGGAGATGTGGCTCTGCTGTAACCAGATTGTCACTGCCGAATGTGACGGGCAGGTGCTGCTGGGGCTGTCCCTGAGCTGGCTGCTCTGCTACGTGTTGACGGTGACTGACGTCCTCCCCACGGACCCCACTGCTTACGGCCACCTGGCACGGACAGACACCTGCGGGGACGTCTTATCTCAGGCTCCCTGGTTTCGGCTCCCTTACCCAGGTACTGCGACAAAGCTGCACAACCCTTTCCCCTATCCCTTGCTGCTTTACCCTGCCCACCTCACAGCCACCACAGGGAAGCAAAGTGCCCAAAATCAGGCAAACACGCACAAGCACCCTGCTGTTCTTCCCTCTCAGTAGATTTTGGGGTAAATGTGCCCCACTGACCTGAATCAAGCTCTTTATTTGCAGGACAGTGGGGAACGCCAACAGTCAGCTTGGCTGGGATATTCGGCATCCTTGCCGGGGTGATCTCCTCCATGCTGGAGTCCATGGGGGATTACTATGCCTGTGCCCGCCTGTCTGGTGCCCCACCACCACCGAAGCATGCCATCAACCGTGGGATCGGTGTGGAAGGCATTGGCTGCCTCCTGGCTGGGGCCTGGGGAACAGGAAACGGCACCACGTCCTACAGTGAGAACGTGGGGGCCCTGGGCATCACCAAGGTGAGCTTCACACGGCAGGGTGACTGCAGTGCCCTGCCCTCCTGTGCATCTCCTGAGTGTGGTTACAAGTGCGTTGTGTACATTGGTGTGGGAAGCTTCTTTAGCCCAACTCTGCATATGGGAGGAGTACAGGCTGTGGTTACTCATGGCTCCTGGCTTAGGTTCCTGTAAAGAGAATATATTACACTGAGCTATTCTGGAAACTTCTTGAGGATTGACTTTATCCGATACTATCCATCTATCTACCTATCTACCTGTCTATCCTCCTAAATAAATGGAAGGAGAGTAAAGGAGCCCTATTAGGGATTCAAGTTCCACAATTTTCGTAACCCAAGGATGGCAATCGTGTGAAAGGTAGACCATTTCTTTGAGATTATGAAATCTGATGGCAAATGTCCATGTTTTTACCTCTCTTTAAAGTTGTGCGAATTCCCTGAGTATCTTATTGCTCTTATGAGGGTAAGAAATTTCCAAAGAGAGATAAACTTGACAATCAGATCATAGATTTTCCACTAAGCTTTATCGCTAGGGAATGAGTACATCCAGCAGCCAACTTGAAAAATATTTCTAAATCATTGTCACATAAGCTGTGAGTCTACCTAAAAGCAGATGTTGACTTACAGCTCCTGAACAATAATATTAGTTATTTTGCTGGCTTTTATAAACCTCAAAATAACCATTTTTCACAGTGTTTGATGGAAGTGGTTGTATCTAACTGCATGAGGCTCAGTTTAGCCTGTCACCCTCAGCCTGTTCTCTCATGATGTAGTTTGCTGACATGACCATAGTGCAGAAGTGCTCAAACCCATAATTGTCAGTTTATAGACGTGCCTTGTCCCCATGTACTCCAGGTCCTTGCACAGACATGCCATCTGTGCTGATTCAGGGGACAGTTCACTTAGATCCCACCTCTGCTCACCTTGTTCAGACTTCAGTGCCCAGAAGACAGTCTCATAGAATCACAGAATGGCTTGGGTTAGAAGGGACCTCAAGGATCTCCTAGTTCCAACCCCCCTGGCATGCGGAGGGCTGTCACCCACCAGCTCAGGCTGCCCAGGAACCCATTAAGCCTGGCCTTGAGCAACTCCAGAGATGGGGCATCCACAGCTTTCCGGGCAGCTGGGCCAGTGCCTCACCACCCCCTGAGTGAAGAATTTCTATCTCAGTCATTCTGACTGGGATGGTTGGGGTTGCTGTGATCACAAGGCGGATTTCTGTTTGCTTGTTTGTTTGTTTTTACATGGGAAACATGTTTTGATGATAAAGGGAAGTGCCAGGGACATGTTTCCTCTGCTTATACACAGGTCTCAGAAACTGCCAAGATCCAATATCTTAAATGGCACCAGGCACCTATGTTTGAGATACTGGATCAAACCCAGCGTGCCAGCACTGGGCTCCCATTTCCAAGAAAAAGAGAATTTCAAAGAGGGATAAAGACTTTGGGAAACTGCAGCTTCTTCAGCTTTACGAGCAAAAACCAGTTTTCTTGTTTCCCTGACATAATTGAAACAAACTCTAAATTAGAAGCTTTAGAAGCAGATGCTCCCAGTTGTGGTATCAGTGGATTAGTTACTTTGCCTTTGAGGCCAACTTCATTTATTGGATAATTTGACATATGACAATTTCAGCAAATTAAGAATCTGAAGCTTCATTCTAATCTTGGAACAAACAGATCTTGTGGCTTTTATTAAATTATTGCTTTGATGATAATGCTGTCCCAAGGTTTTAAGCCAAAGAATATAAAGTGCACCTGAAGGCAGTGCATGATTTTATTTTGAAACTCTCCACCAAATCTTACTCATTTCTTTCACAATCAAGTAAAACTTAGATTTCATAAAAATGTGCCTTTACAGTATTTTAAGTAATATTTACAAAGGGACAGTACCAGTTACTGGCAGTGTTTTGGCTGAAAGCATTTGCAAAAAAACCCTTGCAGAAAAAAAATGGCATTCTTCAGATACTTCAGTGAAAGGATTAAAATAATTAATTGAATTATAAATTGTTTGCAGAGGATTACAGAACTTCTCTGCCTAAGACACAAATGCTGTAAATCTTAGTGTGATTCTTTAAGCTGTCCAAGTTTTGGTGTGGCAAAGCGTATCTTGAATTGAAAGTCTAACAAATATGCTGCTTTTGTGTTTAATTTCTGTAATCTGTAAATGTATCCTTCATCCCTTTGTTTGTCAGATACTCTTTTTCTTTCCTATTCACACACTCTAACAGCTCTGAATGAAGCTTGCTGCTTCATCCCATCATTGTTGTAGTGTGGGACTAAGAATGGCTCCCTGGCTCTTCCTGGGGAAGAACGAGAGAAAGGTGGGTTGACTGAAGCTGGTGTGTGATGGCAGGTAAGGGCAGAACAAGAGACTTCCCCAGTTCTCATTAACCTGGTGTTGGTTGTGTAAAGGATATAACAGATGCAAGAGCTCAGGATGGAAGCAGCCAGGCTGGCCAGCTCTGCTCTGCTACATCTTGGTCCATAGAGAGAGGATTGCTTGGTGCAGGACACCAAGCTGAAGGCCATTTTGAGGTGGAAACTAACCTCTGGTGGAAGTGTTGTCCAGTGAATTATCTGGGAGTAGGGTGTGGGTATGCCACAACGTTCCTACGCTGCAGTGAAAGCAGAGCTGTATGTGGGGATTAGTGTGCTCTTGATGTGCTTTTCATTTCACAGTGAACTGTTAAGTCATGATAGCAATGGGGAAGAGGATAACAAAGCAAATAGGTGTGGATCTATGATTGTTCTCAGGGTGCTTATTACGATAAATATTTCCTAGTGCACAGCAGGGACTGTCCCTGCAGGGACTTTCCACACAGTGTGAGCTTCCCATCTGAACCCAAAGGCTGGAACCAAACGTGCCACCGAGTGCTTTGGTTGCAAGCCTTGCCTGACAGGTCTGCGCTCACTGATGCATCACTGCCTGCTCTTTCTCCCACCCAGGTAGGGAGTCGCATGGTGATCATTGCTGGTGCCTGTGCCATGCTCCTGAGTGGCGTCTTTGGGAAAGCGGGGGCAATGCTTGCCAGCATACCCACTCCTGTCATTGGAGGCCTGTTCCTCGTGATGTTTGGCATTATCACCGCAGTGGGGATTTCCAATTTGCAGGTAACAGCTGTGTGAGCACCTTTTCATTCCCAGGGAAGGTTACTTTGGTTTCAAGCCAGATTCTCACCAGCCTGAGATAGACGTAAGCTGGGCTGCAGCAAATGTAAACATTTGTACTGGCAGTTCCTCGGGTGAAGATGAGGGCACTTATGCAGAGACGAAATCACAAAGAGAGGTTCCAGGTTGGGACAGGGCTTGCAGGCACTGGTTAATGCCCCAGCAGTTCCAGGGCTGCTCATCCCCATCTCACGGTTTATCTGAAGGAAGCTGTTATAAGCAAGGGAGAAGTTTCTGTAGCTGCTCTCCTATGGGTGATTTTTCTCTATGTCCTATAGTTATGTGCATTTAGAGGAGTGCTCTTTGAGTAGAGGTCTCAAACTGGGCAAGAGTCTCAGTAAAAGGTTTAATTTCCAGTTCCGCCAGTGGCTGTGGCTGAATCACACCTTTTCCTGGTGTCTAAGCTGGAGATCACAGAGTGCTTGGCCATCTGATTATCTGCCATATACAGTTTCTAGTGTATGCCATACATGTTTGAAATCATCTGCTAATTTTGGTTAAGCAGAACTTTGTTCTAACACCTGTCATTGGGTTTGTGTGTGTACATCTGAGCATGGCTCACTAATGAATTAATCCATGGATTTTGGTCATTCCAAGCTGTCAGTACTAACATACACAATTTCTCTGTGCAGTACACGGATATGAACTCCTCCAGAAACATCTTTATATTTGGATTCTCTGTGTTTGCTGGACTCACAGTTCCTAACTGGGCAAACAAAAATCATATGCTGCTAGAAACAGGTAAGAAGTGACAGCACATTTTAGAAGAGCTTTCTGTAGCATAGAACTTAAGCAAAGGCTGATCCAAAGCAATCTTTTTAAACACATTTTTTTCCAAACAAAATCCTGAAAGCTGTCCTCTGACTGTTGTCCGTTGCTTTCTGGGAGTGCTGCTCTTGTCCTCTGCTCCGGTGCCTCCCTTGCATTGCCAAATCTTAGGCTCTGTTTTGGGATTTGCAGGTCTTGCCTAAACAAGCAGCCTCTTGGCACTGAATACGTTGCTGGTTGAATATATGTCTTTGTTTTTCCTCTAGAAATCATCCAGCTGGACCAGGTGATCCAGGTGCTTCTCACCACTGGCATGTTTGTGGGTGGGCTCTTGGGGTTTATCCTCGATAACACCATTCCAGGTAGGATTTTGCTGAAATGAGCTAAGCTACCAGTCTGTGTCTGCCCTGGGGTTTGTCACTCGGTATTTTTTGTCCTCATTACCATTGCTCTATGGGTAAAAGCTGTAATAGCAACCATGAAATTCTATGTCACTGAACTCCTGGAGAGGAATGGGGAACAGGAGAGACATCAATGGAATAGCTGCTGCTTCCAAAACAGTAACTCATTAAAATAAAACAAAACAAAAAAACATTTTTCAACAATCTAGTTTGAGGAAAAGTTAATTCAGTAAAAAATGTCTTTTATATAAAATGCTAGCCTAGGTCATGTTGTTGGTAGAAAGGAGAGAGAAAGGCAACTGCAGGAGGGAGGGCATGGTAAGAAATATTTCTTCTCTGCTTATAGATGCAGGTTGGATATTAGGAGAAATTTCTCAGAAATAGAGGTGCAGCAGTGGCACAGGCTGCCCAGGGAGGTGGTGCAGTCACCGTCCCTGGAGGTGTTCCAGAACCGTGTGGAAGTGGCACTGAGGGACGTGGTCAGTAGGCATGGTGGGGATGGGCTGATGGTTGGGCTAGGTGATCTTAGAGGTCTTTTGCACCCTTAATGATTCTCTGATTCCTGATAGGCAATATTGTTGATGTGTGCCTGCTTATGAAAGCTGCTGAAATTGAGGTCGAATTGCTCCACATCAGTGGAAAGCAGCAGGAAGGGCTGATGACCAAAGATGTGATATAGGACCAGTGGCTGCCCCTCACAGCCATCAAAGACCCTCTGATTTTCATCAAGCCTAGGGAGGGATGGCCTAACAATAGGAGAGGAAGTTCTACAGAAAGAGAGCAGGAAGGGCACTCTGTTAAGCAGACTCTTTTATTATCTCAGACTTTTTGAAAAGCCAATATCCTTTTGGCTCATTAATTTTATTGTACCCTTGATCTTCAGCTCCTCCAGGCAGAATTTATGTGCTCACTCCCTTTCCCAAGAGGGACTCAGCCACTGCAACAATTACAGACATTTAGCAATTGCTAGCTAAAGTTAATTCTCTTACCTCATGATATTCGAGCAGTTAACACCCAGCTTTGCTTTTCTAGCACTTTACAATGCCTCTTGAATAGTTCTTCCATCCCCCATGGCTTCTGAAAACCTGTCTTAGTATCTTTGATTCCCATGAGAAGCAGTGGAGGAGACTGTAAGGCACTGCAGGAAGATGGGTACTGTCTAGCAGCACAGTCGCTAGTTTTTGTAAAGAGTTTTGAAGCTAGAAGGGTTTAAGTGCAGGGTATCTCTATGTTGTAGTGGATCTGCTGCGATTTGAGAGCCAAATGTGGAGCGCCCAAGGCAGTCATATGTTCAGAACACCCACTTGAGTGTTTGAAATACAGCAATTTCCTTTTTGCTTTCACAGGAACACAGGAGGAGCGGGGTCTCCTGGCATGGAAGCACAGCCACAAGGGAGAGGTGGACAACTCCCAGCTCATTTCCAAGGTCTATGATCTTCCATTTGGCATAGGCACAAAATACTGTGCTGTCTCTTGGTTTCGGTATCTCCCTGCTTGCCCCCAAAAACTACCTAGTGGCAAGAAAATGGATGAACTGAAGGCTGCTGGACAAGAAAGCAGTGTTAAAGCAAGCTTAGAAAGAGACTCTGAGATAGGTGCTGATACAAGGATATAAGCACCAGGCCTGAAGATAAACTCTTCTCTCAAGCAGAGGTATGAAAAGCACGTCTGCAGCCCCCATCATTTGAACTGGAGCAAGAGAATGACAATGCCTTTCTTTTCTTAACTGTCTCCAGGCACTGGAGACCTTGAGGGAATCATTTTTCTTCTCCCTGCTCCTGCCTGCCCACCTCTAGGAAGGACGCAGTACTGCTTTGGGAAATGCCTAGGAAGGATGTTCAGTTTCCTTCCTTGCACTGAGCCTCGGGAACCCTGAGGAACAGTTGTTAGGCTGAAGCAGAACTCTTCCTTTCCCCTGTTCTGACTGCCCTTGGGGCCACAGGAGAAGGCATCTCTACCATGCTTATGCATCCTTTGGGCTGAGGTTTATCCCCTCCACCTTAATCATCTGTAATGGCAACGTTCACCTCTCAGCTTGTGGTTTACACCTTTTCCTGGCCAAAGGAAAGAAGTGGGCACCTGTAGGCCATGACTCCTCTCTCTCCTGTGATGCTTTAAAGTCAAATGAATGATGTTGGAAAAGCAGCATCTAAGGTTAATGGGATGAATTGTCTTCTGAAGTTGCCTCTCCTTACCTACACTGCAGAGGGATCTACAGACTCCACTTAGGTTACTGATCTGTTAGAAACAACCAGCTTTACTGAAAGAAATTCAGCTGGGATGCTGGGAGCCAGCTTCCCCAGGGTACCAAATTGCACAGAGATGAAGGAATCTTTATCAGAGATAAAGGACAAAACTTCTGCTTGTAGTGTGACATACGTCTGCTACTGCTAAGTTCTGTGTGTCCCCACTGTCCTTGACTTGGCTTGGTGATTGTGTAGTGACAGCCACTTCTCTAGAAAACAGCTTGCAGACTCTTGCTGTTTTCTACTCTCAGCACAAACAGCCTTAACCTGTTAATAATGTGACTGCACGTGGTGCTGGCTGCTGCTGACATGTAATAATATTGCTATAGCATTAAGCTGTAATTTCCTGCACTGAGATTTATACTTAAATATATTTTGGGAAAAATAAATAACACATGCAACTGAATGATATTTCTTGGGTTGATTTCCATAGTGAGTGGCAGGTTGTATTCAAAGAATCACAGAGAATTCAGGTTGGAAAGGACCTCTGGAAGTCATGTGGGCCAACCCTTCCTCTTAGACCAGGTGGCACATGGCAGTGCCTAGTCGTACTATCGCTGGAAAGCCACAGCAGCTTTGGGCAACCAGTTCTGGTGTTTGACAACCTTTGTGGTGAGAAATAGCTTACCTCACCTCTAACTGGAATTTCCAGTGCATCAACTTGAGTCTGTTGCCTCAACACTGTTCCCCTCTCAGAAAAGTCTGTCCCAATCTTCTCTGTACTCTGAACTGTACAGCTGAAGGCTGTGATATGGTTTCTTCTTAACCCTTTCGTCTCAGCAAAATCTGTGTGGTTTCAATGAAAACCCTTCATTCCTCATGCCTATTACAATATGGGTATTTAGTCCCAGATTTAGTGGTAAGTTGCTTATTTTTACTGTTAAGGGGCATATTTTGCCCCTTAACAAGGGGATGGATGTGGTGGAGTCACCATCCTGGGGGTATTTGAGAAATGTGTGGATATGGCACTCAAGGACATGGTTTAGTGGTGGACTTGGTAGTACTAGGTGATGGCTGGAGTTGATCTTATGGATCTTTTCCTTAACTATGCCTGATTCCTGCCCAGTTGGGATTTTACAGAGGTCCTGGGCATCTCAGCTCTGACAGTGCCTTAATTCTCCACAATGTCGCCCACACCTTAAGCTCATTTACTGATAGCCCATATCCCCAGGAGAACTAGCAGATAAGCCCTGGTCTTACACATCACTCTCAGACTTACTTGTGCCATAGCATATGTGAGAAAGCGTAAGTTAATCTGCATCACCCTGTCCCCGTGTCCTGTCAGCCTGCTGCTGGCCAGATCCAGCATATGCTGCAGGAATGGTTTAACGGCAACAGGATGGCAGCTGATGAATGAGACACCATGACCACATCTTGCACTTCCACCCTGCTGCCATGTCTGCACCCTCCTCCCCCAGCTCCCTGGGGCACAGCATGAGTAGGGCCCGTCCTTCATTGCAGCACAGCAAAGCCCAGGTGGCACAGACTGCATGCTGTGTCTGGTGCTGCTGAGGCTCGAGGCATTTCTCAGAAGCTATTTCTGTCCCCATTTCAAGCTCAGGCTATTAACTGCCCTTTGAAATTTCTCCTTTGGTGTGTTTGTTATATGCCTGTTTGTTTTTTTAACTCAGAGGGACATGTCTAAATTCTAAAATGAAGTAGGCAGGGTGAGGCTGCAGGATTACCACTCCCCGCCAGCTGCATACGGCCACTTGAGTTCTGGAAACAGCTTTGACTTTGCACCACAGGATGCAGCTTCTGTTTATTTGCTCCTTGATAAGTGAAAGATCAAGGGATCCTCAGGTGCAAAACTGAACACCTGAAGGCTTTTCTGGACTGCGTGGGAACAGCAAGCTGCCTGCCACCCGTGTAACCCTTTGCTCCTGTTTACTCCTCAAAGCGTGAAGTCAGGCAGTGTGGGGTGATCCTGCTTGCAGCTTACAGAGGTGCACATAGTGAACTGCCAAAGTGCAGGCAGAAAGTCCTCCTGTTCTTTCTGGAGAGAGTTGGTGAGGGATACATGCTCGTACCTAGTGACACTGGCTCTGGACCAGCTCATTTTCATAGCTTTCTAACAAGATGTGAACTGGGCTTGGGTTGGAAGGGACTTCAACAATCATCCAGTTCTGACTCCCTTGCTGTGGGCAGGGCTGCCAACTGCTGGATCAGACTGTGTGTTAGAAGCTGCTGTGCTACAGCACAGCTGTAATGCACCTGGTCTCATTCTGTCCAGTTCGGCCAGGTCTGCCTCCACAACGGCCTCACTTCCACGGCTGCTTTCAGGTTTGCCATTGCTTCCTCCATGCTGCCTTTCTGCCTCAAGCTCCTTCTCCTTCCCACTGCTCTGCCCCAGCAGCCTGCTGGCCTTTTCCAGGCTTTTTCATAAGAAGTTTCAAGACCAACCACCGAGCACTGAACAATGTGGTGCCAGTGCACACACAGCAATACTATGCTCAGGAATTAAGGCTGCTTCCCTGCCAAGGCAGAGCAGCCTTTGCACACCGGGGCAGCTCAGTCTCTGGCTGGGTGGCGCTGGCTCTGCTCGAGAAGGTTGCCTTCCCATGTCACACAGGCTTGCATCCTGCAAACTGGTCATGCCACAGGAGGAACCAAAGTAATGTGTTCCTCATCCTCTTCATAATGACATAAATGCCTCCCACAATGCTTGCTACCTTTTGGAATAGTTATTTCTTACCTTCACGCTACCTGAACACACCTGTTGATCATGTTTGTGTTCAAGCCTAAAATTCTCCTGGTGAAGCATCAAAAGCTCTCCCACGTGATGATCAAGGGAATGCATCTACATACCATGGTGACCACCTAGAACTGCCTCCTCTGGTACATGACAGGCTGAAAGTCGATTAAAAATGCAGTATTTCTGCTGCTTAATTCTGTCCTGGACTGGTCTTCAAAGCATGGGGATTGAGAGCTAATAAAAATAAGGTTGTTAATCCGTCAGTGTTATCTGCTCACATGGCTCTCCTACAGATTTGCCAAGTATGACCTCAACTGATGCAGTAACTGAGGTGGAAAAGTGAAAGGCTTGTTTTTGTAACAAAACTGACCAAATGTCATGTGGCAAATGGAACTGGAGATGGCAGCAAGTTGTAAGATCAGAAAGGGATACTTTAAGCTGTAAAAAGTAGATTCCACACTGAGAAAAACTAACACATTTTTCCACAAAACTACAGAATGGTAAGAAAGGGCACACAGGACATCTCATGCAAATTTCATTTTCACATTTGTCTCTTGTATTCTTTCCTTTAGAAAGAATGATTTGGCCTCAGATCCCCTGAAAAACCTGTACACGTTTCAATTAGCACGTGTTCCAAAACCCAGGCCCTCCAGAGCAATATATGCATGGTACTTTAAATTGAGAGGGGAAGTAGGAAGAAGGAGACCTCAATATAACCACTGCCAGAACACTGGCCGAGTCTGCAGAAAGCCGCTAATGACAGCTCAGAGATGTCAATCATCTGTTTTAACTTCAATGCATTTTTAATTTCAAGACACCATCTGAGCAGTACTACTCATCAAAGAACAAGATGCAGCAGAACAGCACAGGGGGCTTGGTTCTCTTTCAACTTTACACACTTTACAAAAAATAATCCACAGTTTGTGATTGTATCTGCATCTCTCTGAGCGATTCGGGAGTGTGTGGCCACTACAGTTGTCCTCATAGATATGGAATGTCCTCACGTCACTCTCTGTGAAGAAATTCCTCTGTTGTTTCCTGCTCTGGCTAAAGAACTGCAGAGGAAAGCAATCACTGCCAGGATGCTGGGAGGCACGCTGTGAGCTTTGTAGGTAGCAGTCTGGAGTGCGTAGGTTGCCATGTGCTCTCTGCATCTCTTCCACAGCTCACATTAGGCAAGATCACTGAATTGCTTCAGTGTATTTGTGAAATGAGGTTCAGCATTAAAAAGTCAGAGAGAAAAATATTTCTTCCTTTAGGTTTTATAAATATTTTAAACCTGGAACATTTAAAAGTATAAATTACTCAACTGGTAAGTTATGAAGCACTGATGAGGAAAGGGAAGTCAACAATAACAAACCACAACACATTGTCTCCCCACTCTGATTGGAGAGGTGTTCCTCTGGAAGAGGCACAGTCTCTTCACATGCCTGCTGTATCCAGTGATGCTTGGCAAAACATTGGCATACAGGGATACTACTTATAAATCTTCGTCATCAAAGGTCTCCGTGCACCTCAGCATTACAGTCTCATAATCAAACTGAAGATCTTCTTCCTGAAACCATCCCAAAGCCAGGTAAGGTTAAAAACCACAAGAGTTGACTGTGTTCAAAGTGCCATGAGCCCTGCTTCTGCTCTGCATCAGCAACCAGCACCTCTCAGTCAACTGTTTGTGGTGCCTGATGAAGAATGTCTCAGATTCTCAACTAATCTAACATCACAGGCCTTCATCCTACCTCCATCTACATCATTTAGACCATGGTAGCAAGCACATCAAATAACAAGCTCTGAGGACATGCGAGCTTCCTTGAGCCTCTAACTTACACTATCTTCAGGCTTTGCTGCTCTTTTAGCAACAGAGGGAAATGGTTTTCTTGACCATCTTACAGAGCATAAGTGGCTTTGAGCAATCAAAGTCCAGGATGCAAAAGCATTTGCATCTGTAGACTGTGAAACAGCAAATGTACACAATCCAACAACAGTGCTTTGTACAGTTAATCTCAAATGGCATTAACACGGAACTGGCATGTAATGACCACAAGAAAATCTGTTACCTCCCCAGCTCTGCAGATGGAAAGGACAGAGGCTGCCTTTCACACATCAGTCGGGCACACACTGGTGGCCCTGCCTCTAAGTACAGTACCTGCTGCTTGCCTCCATATCATCATCTACCACGTGTGTGCACGGTGCATCAGGACACCACTTACCCTTTGGGATAATGATACCACCAGCATTGCCCCAAACTCTTGGGTAAATGTACCTGTATCAATACTGCATTGAGAGAGTGGTCTGCAGGGATTTGGTTACACACACAAAGTAAACAAGAAGGTCTCCTATTCAGGACAAGTCCAGGAGTCTTCAGTGCACAGAGTAACCCACTGTCTGGGTTAAGTTGTGTAGCCTATGCTGAGCCCTGCTGTTGCCTGAGGTAGTGTTTCAAGCTAGCTGGAATATCTCCTAGACACACTCAGCTGAACTTCCATAACTGTCTCCAAACTATTTGCTCAGAAGTACAGCTGAATTTCTGCTCTCAAAACCCAAAATTTGTCAGTCAAATTTTCTTGCCTCTTGGCAGGACTCTAGATGTGCTGTACCACAGTTATCTAAACCAAAACAGATTATCAGTACAATTTAGTCTGGGTGAATTCTGCTCACACTCCCTTTTTATTGTCTTATCGCAGACAATTCAAAGTT